ATACTAAATAGGAATATATTTGTATAATCAAATACCAAATATAATCAAATAAGTCAAAGTGTACATTTTTATTTGGTATTTGATTTTTTTATTATTAAAATATTTTTATTATATTTACCTTTTTAAAATAAAATAAATAAATAAATCAATTAAATAAATAAATAAAATATTGTAATACCAAAATAGTAATGACATTTAATGCAGTTGACTTTTCTGGATAGTAAATGTATTAAATAGAATTTCTTTTTATATAAGTATAAATATTATATTATATTATATTGCTCAAAATAGTAATGCATTTATTGCATTGACTTTTCAACTTACTAAATTTTGTAAATGGTACCCCTTATTATATATGTATAGATATATATATATATATATATATTGATTTTTTTTAATAAATGAGGGGGGTTCATGGGCCCCCTGGACCTTCTTTGGCTCCGTCATTGAATGAGATGATAAATTCTCGAGAAATTTTGAAAGTGTGTTTAATGTAAGATGAACACGTGGTAATCAAAGTTGATGTAATATATAAAATAGTAAAATAATGATTGATAATAGAAAAAATGTGAATATATAACAGTAATTTTTACAAAGGAATGTGGTAATGATTTGTTTTATTTAAAAAGTTATATAGATATATTTTAGTACTATAGACGAGTGAATATTTTTTTCTTTTTATTCATGGGTAAAATTTTGTTTTAGGTTAATATCCAAAGAGAAGGAAATTATATGGACATGAACTTTTTCCTTGTTACTCTAATCTAACGTTAAATGCCCTTAAAATTCGTAATATATAAATGAATTAGAAAATAGACTCGGGCCCATTACAATAAAACTATTACTAAAAGTTCGAGATTAAAAAGAGAAAAGAAAAAAACACAATCTTGATTTAAGAGACTCAGGCCTCAAAATATATACTTATTTATATATATATATATAAATATTACTATAAAACTGTGCCTAAAAAACAAAACAAATGGTTTGCAAATTGCAAAAGAAAGAAAAAAGAAGCAACATTTTATGGGGCCCTGCGGTTTGTGGACTCGGAGTTTCTTCTCGAACTAATTACCTCCTGCACGACTATAACTTTTATTACTTCCCAAATAACGATTATAAAAAACTTTAATCCTAATCAACGATACTAGTGCGTGGCCCGTGCGATGCACGGGAAAATAATATTACGATTATATTATAAATTAAATATATAATATCATTAATTATGATTTACCCATTGTTTTTAAATTAAACCAAGTGGGACACAGTCCGACCGGATGGACCGAGAACCGGGTTATAAACGGTGTAGTTCGTTTGAATAAAATATTTACTATTGAGTCCGTCAACATCAGGCAGTTGGACTGGTAGGATCGTTACGATTTTCTAAATAAATTTTGTTACATTTAAAATTATTTTAAATAAAATTACATATTTAAATAAAATAGAAATTTATAAATTGTTTATCAATTAGTTTTAACATTTGAATTTATAAATTGTTTAGATATTTAAGTAACACATTTTATTAACTTTTATTATAAAAAGTACTCTCTCTCTCTCTCTATATATATATATATTAAAATGTATATATATTGATATTAAAATGTTTATAAATTAAAATCTGAATAAACTACAAATGATTTAATAGAATAATTTGATCGTTTCGATGATGGTTCGATTCTGAAAACCATATTCACTGTACATTAGTAAAAAATATAATAAAATATTATTTTATTCACATAAATATTAATAAAATGATATATAAATATTCATTAATCATTAAACATGTTGTCATATAAACGTATTGTTAATATGATTATTTGAAGTTTGGGGAATATTAAAAATTGAAATGAATTAATATATAAATATTGTTGTCATATTCACATGGTAATTCTTATTAAAACTTGAAATGTATTAACAGGCTTTGAAAAATGGTTAACATGCTGTTACATGTTGAAAAATTTATGAACAAAGCCTCATAAATTGAAAAATCTTGTTAACATGTTGTCAATTTTTAATGAACAAAGTCTGTTACCATTTCAATTTTAAGTGAAAATCATGTATCTATATAACAAAGCATGTTAATCACTCTTTTAAAATATTGTTAATATGATTATTAGGAAAAAAAAAGTTACTAAGAATGGTAGGTAATTAATGTTGACTGAAATTTGACTTTCCATTTTTAAAAAATGGTAATTCTTATTATATATATATATATATATAGATTTTTTATAAATAATTAGTAAATCAAATACTTCACATAATATTCACAATAGTATAAAGTAAAATTACCGAATAGAATTGACTCGTCTATTTTGTTGACATCTTGCAATGTTGCAAAGTCTCTGAATAGAAATCGAAACATAGAAAAAGACAAAGTGTCTTTGCATTTCATAAATACAGTGCCCCCATGTAGTATTATCTTAAACTCGCCAGTTGCAGATCTATACATACCAAGGTTGCTATCAACTTGGTAGTTTCGTATAAGAATGACCATGCCCTCTTCAATGGACTTCTCTTTGAACCCCGGAAAATAGACTGCTCTTAGTCAAGCTGTAATGCGTTTTCCCTTCAAAAATAAATTGAAACGGCAAATGTAAAAGTAATCTATATGATACGTAAATAACAAATAGTGAGAAATGAAATCGAAATCATATGCCTACCGTTCTATCATGCAAAATAAGCTCGAGATGCGACTTGAATGTGCTGCCCTTATCTTGATAAAACATCCTCACAATGCGGACTTTAAGCATAGGTCTCTTGCTCCTATTAATTTCTTCGATTAATCCAAATGCTTGATCCATGGCAGAGAGAGTGATTTTTTTTTTGTACAATATGCGATTGTAATTGTAATACGTTGAATGGGTGATGTTGGTAATGAGGGTACATATATATATATATATGTTAATGAGAGTATCTTGTTAAAGAGAGTTTCAAATCGGCTGAAAATCAATAGCAATCTTGTTCCATGTGAACTTTAGAAAATTAAATCGGCAAAAAAATCGTAACTTTTGAAAGAGTCCTAGCAAATGGAAGAAATATAATTTTTAATTTTAATGTAAGTAGAGATTGTTTACAAAAAGTAAAAACGTGTTAATGTCCTTTTGGCGTGGATTTTATATTGCCTATTTTATACGTATGTTCTGTATAGTTTTTTAGAGATAATAATTCAACACGTGTATTTGTTTTAGGAAATGAATAACAAACTTAATATCAGTTTTGAATATTGATAAGGTGTATGAAATATTTCTCCTTACAATACGGATTTTGTTTTTTAATCTTAAAATTATCCCAAATATCTTCTCCTTATAATAGGATTGTTGTTTCTTCAATTTATCGTTAAAAAAATATGTTTAAAAGGCATATGAAATGAGATTATTTCGTTACCATAAAAGAATATGTGATAAGGATGTATGAAATGGGATTATTTCGTTACCATAAAAGAATATGTGATAAGGACGCTGTTAATGAGGCGTGTGATATAGGATTATTTAATGAGAATTAAATTGGTATAATTAATGAGTTTTAAAGGCGTGTGAAAAGGACATAAATGCTGTCTTGCGTGTGAAATGGACATAAGAGTTACCGCCGATTTTGGAAAGTAATTAATGCAAAATTGACTTTGACCAGCAATTAAATTACTAATTTTGATAAATGTTAATTCTTATTATATAAGTATATATTATGGCTTTATTTACGAATCTATAAACAATTTAATGCCACAAAAGATACTCTCTCACTTTCAAATTTTAAATCCATTTGAGTAATTAATTTATTGAATAAAAAAGGTAAGTTAACCTTTATTGGGGTAAGTAAACTTATATTCGAGGTAATCAAAGCTTCTCAAAATTTCATCTACCCAGACAATCAAATTGATTTCTCTCTCACCGAGTAACCGATCAAAAAAATTGATTTCTTTTTCACCCAAACAAGCAAAGTTGTTTTCATCACTTGTTCCCATTTTCTTTTTCTTCTCCTTCTCCTTCTCCTTCTTCACCCCAATTTTTCCATACCGCTCGGACCTCAGATTGGTGGTTGAACGGAGACGGGACCTCAAATATTTGGCTAGTATAACGGTGACGAGTCAAAGGCCTTCACCTCTAACGTAAAGGACGGCTGGAGGAATTATCATATTCGCGTAAGTTAAAGATATCCAGAAAATTAATCTTTTCTTATGTGATTAAGATAGTTTTGGGCTTTTTGTACGATTTCGTCGGATTGAGAAATTCCGAACTAGACGGTGTTTAGGATATGTTTTTGGATGATTTTTGGTGTTCAATTTAGGTTATGTTTGGTTAATTTACAGTATATGGATCGGTTATTTTCTTATTTTGGTGTAATCTTTATTAGTTTTTTCATCGTAAATACTCAATTGAACCAATTTCAATTATCTCTGGTTGTTATGATTTTCTATTGTATGTTTGTTTGAGTTCTACAATTTGTTTTGATTTTATAAATGTTGTGATATGCGTAGTTTTCTTCTAGTTTCCTTTCCCTCTTAACATTCCAAACCCCATTAGTTTACCAATCTCTCTCTCCCTCTCTCAAATATGCCCATCAAGCCATCTCCGTTCTCTGAGCGGCGATAATCGCTGTATTTAATTCTTATTTTGCATCAAAGGTATAATCTTTCATCTATCTCTGTTACTTATCTCACTCTTTCTAATTGTTTGTATTTGTGACCTGTTTGTGCTCGTCTTTGAGTTTTACATGTTTGGGATTGCATTTACGCACCACTTCACGATTCCTTTTTCTTGTTTTTTTTCCTCACTAATCTTCCTATGTGCAACAAAAAGGTAAAAAGAGGAATAAAAATTGATTTGGGTTTTTGGTACCTGTTCTTTTATGGTGGTATCTCTATTTCCCCTTCGTTTTCGCCCCCACTTGTAAATGGTTTATTGGGGCTGGTGGAATTTGATTTTTTAGGATGTTCAGTTTGGAAAAAAGCAAAAGGCGTGATTAATTTTTATCCACAGGAAAAGATAAATGAAAATTTATTGCGCTGCAGGTGTTTGTATTTTTGCGTGAATAGGACTGGAAATTGTGTTTTCACCAAAAGGAAAAAAGAAAAAAGGAAACCCCAGTTAGTGGTAAAAGGGGGCTTAATTTTTTATGTCGCTGAGGATAAAATCAGTGGTAGATAGGTTTGTACAAGAGCTGAAGGAAGCTCTTGAGGCAGACATACAGGATAGAATCATGAAGGAGAGAGAAATGCAGAGCTACATTGAAGAGAGAGAACGTGAGGTTGCCGAGCGTGAAGCTGCCTGGAAAGCCGAGCTCTCACGCCGTGAGGTACACTTATTCTTGACCGTTATGATTTTTAAGTGGTAGCTTGAGTTTTGGTCAGATGGCTGCGAGATTATGTCAAACTACGCCGAATTAGGGAATATTGTTGTGGGTAAGTCATTGCAAACTGTGTGTTATTAAGCTTTCAATCAGTTACAATGAATCAACTGTGTGTTTATTGTTAATTTGGTTTCAGATTCAGCAAGAATCTTTTTGTCTGATTGTATGGTAGAAGCAAACCCAAAATGCTCGTTGGGTGTCTTAAGCATGAAATTGTTTAGTAAAGCTTTTAGAAGCTATTTTATATTTAATCCAGGAAAATTGCGACTATATATCCTGTTTCTTGTCTGTTTTCTTTGAAATCAATGGTGTAAGGTGGTAGATTAGTTGTGAGATAATTTCTTTTGATCTTAAAGAACGATTGTTTTGAATCATAAATATAGAGATGCACATTTTTAGATGGGATTCATGTATCATATTATTGGCCTTTTGCGGCAAAGGTACAGTTTGTGTATAAATGGTGTTGAAGGTCTAGTTAGGAAGTGTCTTGCTAATAATAATATTTACGAATTGTCATTCAGAATTTACGAATTGCAGTCCCCACAAGGAACCTTTGTTAATATTAATATTTATACAAATCTCAAGATGTTATTTTGTACATTTTGAAAGATAAGATTTTTATTAGTGGGCTAGACATTTCAAAAAGACAACATGTCCAACAACTAAGTGTAGCAGAGATGCGTATGTTGCGTTGGTTCTGCGGGCACACAAGAAGGGATAGAATCCGGAATGAAGATATTCGAGATAGGGTCGGGGTGACTCCAATTGAGGAGAAATTGGTTCAACATCGGCTGAGGTGGTTCGGACATGTCCAACGGAGGCCTCCTGATGCACCGGTGCGTAGGGGAGTTCTACAGCGGTTCGAGGACGTAAAGAGAGGTAGAGGTCGGCCTAAACTCACTTGAGAAGAGTCGGTTAAGAGAGACCTTAAAGATTGGAATATCTCCAAGGATTTAGCGGTGGATAGGAGCGCTTGGAGGCTAGCAATCAACGTGCCAGAACCGTGACTTTTGCTCCTTTCTCTTTTGCTCCAATCTCTTCCTTTTGTTTAAAGCCCTTTCTGTGTTTCTCCTACAGATGGTTCTCTTGGGTTTCATCTCTAGCCTACCCCGACTTGCTTGGGACTAAAGGCTATGTTGTTGTTGTTGTTGTGGCTAGACATGAGGAGTAGTTTTAGTAATTTTTTTGTCACCTCTCTGTATTTTCTGTGCAACTTTCAATTTTCTCACAGTAAGATTACTAATATGAGGCTGCTCATTGATTTCAGGCAGAGATTGCTAGGCAGGAAGCCAGGTTAAAGATTGAACGAGAAAATCTCGAGAAAGAGAAAAGTGTGCTCATGGGGACCGCTTCAAATCAAGACAATCAAGATGGAGCCCTTGAGATTACTGTTAGTGGCGAAAAATACCGCTGCTTGAGGTTTGCAAAGGCAAAGAAATGAGACCAAAATGGCTTACTTTTTCGTATTTATCGCACTAGAATTTGTTAGTTTATTTGTTTATTTTTTAGCATGTTGTCTTCTATGGTCTATTTCTTGCGGAACATGAATATCATTGATGATTAAATCATTTTCCTAATTGTTAGGATTAATTTTTAATTCCTTAAGTTGTTAAAGTTTGAATGGTGGATGGTTTTGTTGCTTTGATGAGCAAACCCAGCTGTCTAAATCTGTTTTGAAGCAGGGTTTTTGTTGAAAAAAATCATGGACATTGATGTATATATTGATCCTTGCACGGTATTGTTACTTATGGCAAGAATCAATCATGTTTAGTTAATTTCATGGTTTTATTAGACAATTTTAAGTGCACTATTACTTGCAAGGGGTGTGTATTCTGCAGCGAAGAGCGACTATTCTGGCCTTGTACAGACTTCAATTACTTTGATATTTAGAGTTGAATAATAGTTGTTACAAAACAATATGTAAGTGCATATGCTTGTGTATATTTAATATTTTAAAAATAAATTCAATAATTTTAATCGACCGGTAATTTCATTGTTGCACGAAATCATATGTATTGATATGAGACATATTTTTCATGTTAAGAAAATATTTTTCTCATTATTTTATACTGACATTTTCTTCCATATAATTTTATTTCTTATGAATATATATGATTATCAGGATACTTACAGTTTTGTGTATATTTCAATTAATAATTTATTTTATATGCTTAACTTATCAAATATATTTTGCGAGTCTTACAACAAAGTACATGAGATTGTCGGTAGTTTTTAGCTTACATATTCAATATGTGTCCTAAAATGAAAATCGTAAAAACATAAATAATGTGATATTTCATGCATAAAAAAAAATATTAAATTTTGAACAAAAACAGGTTAATATTACGAAATATAAAAGAGCATAATATGTTAGTAGACTACTTTTTTATTTAAACAATACATGATTGGCTCGACGTTCTTTCAAGTCACGAATCCCATCAATGATTGGCTCCGTACTAATAGATCTTGCAATTCCTCTTTCGACGAAGATAGTTGTTTTGTAGTGTTTTTGCCGAGTACGATCGTAAACAGCTGTAGGTTATATTCATTATCGTATAACAGCTGTAGGTTATATTCATTATCTGCATAAAGGAAGACAACTTTTTCTTCAAAACAATTTCAAAACGAACTTTTTCTAACACTTCATCGCTTGTTTTCTGGTTTGGAGCCTTTTGGTTTTTCGTTTTCTGTTGGTATTTATACTTTCTTTATTTTTTGTCGGGTTCATTTGTCGTCTGTATGAAAGGGCCTTCACATCTGGGCAAAGAATTTACAGACCACTTTCGTGTGATAGTAACAAAATATTCTTGAAAACTGCCGACCTTTTGAGTGGATCGATTATTAGAGATTGTACAATATTTTGTAGCAATTTGTGTTGGAAAATCTCCATCAGGTGAACCTCAATCGAACGAGTGGTTCCTCAAAAGTTTTTTCATCTGGCAGTTTTTTTTGTTATGTGATCAGGTTTAAAGAAAAATGTCTACAACAGCTGCAAGGATTAATTTTCATTTTCTAAGAATAACAAAATTTTGTCCTCTCAAAGTTACAGAGCAATCATATACTAACTGTTTTTTGTCCCCCTCAATTCCTATTTTATTTCTTATTTATATTAAATATTAATTGTCCCAGTAGAGTATCCACAATACTTTGAGTTCAATCCGAAAAAATTATATGCCATCTAAAAAATAGACTCAGTTTAAAAAAATATTTTCTCCAATGCAAATAAAAGTAAATTGAGTCCTGTTGATGTGGCAGCCATAAAAAGAGACTCGGTCTTCCTTTAAGTCTATTTTAGACCCAAGTAGAGACCTAGTCTCTTTGTATTAGAGTGAATTTTGTTAATTTTACATAATTTTATCCATGTCATCCAAAACTTAGGTTTATTTACATACCACATAAGCAAGACTAGACTCAATGCATTGTAGATGGTCGTACAATACTCCAAGATTGGACCGAGATGTTTATATCATTTTTGGACTGGAATTAGCATTTGATTATGAGGATTATGTTAGACTAATAGTTGCATTTGTATTTTAGTTTACTAGAAAGTGTCAATAGGAAAACACATTTTTACTTACAAGTTGTAACAACTTTACATAACACACTTTGTACTTGATATAAATACCATGAAACTCTAATTGTACTCTACTTTTTTGTTAACCAGAAATAAAGTTTTTCCTTCTCTTTCTCGCCTGCCTTCAATTCTTTCATTGTTGATCTTCAACATTTAGCATGGTATCATTTGCTTGGTTTTGTGATCTCGTTTTTTATTCTGCTTCTTCCCCCCTTTTTTTTTTCAGTATTGATCGTTTGTAGTAACCCAGATCTATACTTGATCTGTTTCAATCTGTGATGTACTCTTGATATTTTGTTTTGGATTGATTAATTGGATTAATTGGTGCCTATGGCGAATTTGATTGACGATTCGACGTCTCTATATTTTGTTAACACAATTGACAATTCAAGCGCTCTAATAGTTGCCAAGCTTTTTTACTGGTGATAAATATGTGTCTTGGTCCTGCGTTGTTGCTATGGCGCTCAGTGTTAAGGATAAGCTTGGTTGACGGTACACCCTCTGTACCAAACCCTACTCAGAGTCCTTCTGAGTTTCTTGCTTGGGTACGTGCGAACATTTTGGTTCTCTCTTGGTTGCTCAACTCTGTTAGTAAAGATATACGACAATCTTTGTTGTTTTTTCTGTTGCTCAGGATGTGTGGGATGAAATGGAGTCAAGATATGCTTTGTCCACCGGTCCTAGGGTTTTTCAAATCCAAAAGTTTATGAGTTCTATAGATCAAGTGTCTCATATAGGCCTATATTTCCTTGTTACTGTCGTGCTTTTAACAATTGTTCTTGTAACATTTTTTTATGCTATGGTTTCTGCTCAACAAAAAGTTTTAGTGATGAAATTATTTATAGGCTTGAATGAGTCTTATACCTCTCTGCACAGTCGTATCATACTTTCTTCTCGTCTGCCTTCTTTGTCTAAGGTTTATTTCTTTCTTCTTCAGGAAGAAAGTCGTTGTAACCTTACTAGTTCCACTAAAATATTTTATTCGCTTACTATGGCTGCGAAGTCAAACTCTCAAACTTCTCTTAGACATACTCGACCCCTTTTTCCAAAAGATAGAAAGACAGTTAAATGTGGTTATTGTGGTTACGTTCATCCTTCAGAAAAATGTTATCAGGCTATAGGGTATCCTCCTCAGTGGAAAGGTTCTAGAGGTCTCTGATCATACTTCTGCCAATTCTGTTTCATCTGGTCCTGTTGTTGAAAATTTTCATTATTGGCAATCTCTTTCATGAGTTCTTAGAATATAATCATTCTTATGAGGGCAAACATGGTCTTGGAGTGGCTAATACTTACTCAATTGTTGGCTACTATCACTTCTAAGCCACCAGGTGTTATGGTACAGTATGTTTACAAAATACACATGGATTTTAGACACTGGTGCTTCTGATTGTGTGACATTAATCTATTCACTTCATCCCTCATTCCTATATATAGCACTGTTAATCTTCCTAATAGACAAAATACTTGTGCAAGCCATGTGAGACAACTTAATATGGGGCAGAGTCTTGTGTTGTACAATGTATTATATGTTCCTACTTCCAATTTTAACTTGGTATATGTTTCAAAATTAACTATCACAAAAAGTTGCCTAGTTAGTTTCTTTTCTTCTTACTGCACATTGCATGAGCTGAACTCTAAACCAATGATTGGCTTTGTTGAAGCTAAGGGTGTTCTATACCATCTCAGTTTTTCAAATAATGATTGTAAACGTTTCTGTAATACTTTAGTTTCTGATGTTTTTATTTCTTTTGACATTTGGCACTATAGACTTGGTCATCTATCTTATCATAATCTTGTTCACCTCCATTTTTTATATAAATTTAAACCTTGTGATGTTTCTTCTGCTCATAAGCCTTGTGATGTTTGTCACATTTTAAGACAAAAGCGACTACCATTCTCTGTAAGTTCTTCTACTGCTTCTACTGGTTTTTGAACTTATACATCGTGATATTTGGGGACCCTTATCCATTCCTTTTCATTTTGGTCATAAGTAGTTTTTGACAATTATTGATGATCATAGGTGGACAACCTGGATTTATCCACCTCATACCTAAATTTGATTCTAAACATCATATGCTACACTTTTACAACATGGTCAAACTCAATTTTATAATACAATTACGGTTATCAGGTCTGATAATGGGTCTGAGTTCCTTATGCATGATTTTTATAATACAGTTGGTATGTATAATACATCAAACTAGTTGTGTTGAAACACCTTAACAAAACAGTAGAGTAGAGAGAAAGCATCAACCGTTGCTACAGGTTGCTAGGGCTATCTTATTTAATGCTATTAATCTAACCTTACCCTTTTGGATTGATTGTGTTTTAGCTAGTGCTTATTATCAATAGGATTCCTTCTACTATCTTACATAAAAAATCAACCTATGAAATTCTTTATGACCAACTCCCAAAATATGATCACTTAAAAGTAATCGGTTGTCTTTGCTATGAATCTACACTTAATTCTAATATATAAAAACTTGACCCTAGAGCATCAAAATGCATCTTACTTGGTCATCCTTTGGGTTTTAAAGGTTATAGACTTTGAAACTTAGATACCAAGCATATATTGATTTTCAGAAATTTGTCTTTCTATGAGTCTGTGCTACATTTTAAAATTTTCTAACATGATACCTTCACATCGAACACCGTATTATTTTCTCCCCCTTCTTCATTTGTATATGATACAGATGTTCCCCTTCATATAAAAAATCTGCTAACCCAGCATTATGCAATGACCTCAGCTCCCCACCACACAGACAACCTATACAATCACTCATCAATACCCATATTGTTAACCACTATCCACCCCAAACTAACCTCAGAATATCTTCAAGACCTAGACACCCTCCTTCGTACCTTAGTAGATATAAACATTCTCTCCCCCTCTCTTCCAATGTTGCTTCTACCAATGCACAGATTAACAATACTCGAACATCATTACATCCAGTACATAACCACTTATCTATTGATAGACTCAATATTAATCATTCACATTTTAATGCATGCATAAGTAAAATTCCTGAACCTAGAACATATAAACATACTGTAAAAGATCCTCTTTGGCAGGAGGCAATGACTAAGGAATTGGATGCTTTAGAGAAAACGAATACATAGATTCTAACTAACTTGGCCCCTGGAAAAAATTGTATAGTCTGTAAATGTGTTTATAAGGTGAAACATAACTCAGATGGATCAATAGGTAGATATAAGGCTAGACTAGTAGCCAAAGGCCACACACAAAAAGAGGGCATATATTTTTTTGATACTTTTTCCCCTGTGGCTAAAATTACAACTTTGGAGTTCTACTTTCAATTACATATGACAAAAATTTGTTTTTACATCAAC